CGTTACTGCCCATCTCTGGTCGTAAGTGATTAATTAAGAAAAGTATGTGTAATTACCTAAAGATGTAGTGTAACAAATGTTCTGTTGGCGCTGACAATGTAAGTATCCATAGTTATGACCCTGCCCCACAGCTCTACCAGAGACTATTTTCATATTCATAATCTTTGACTCTGCCTTAAATATTTTACAGGTTTCCTGGAGAAAAGGCCAGACGCATGAATCATTGGCTACACTTACATACACGCTACAAGGTAATTACAGCCATGAGTAACACACTAACCCTTCAGCCTGAAAATATGCTGATGCATGAAGTGATTCAGACACTCGACCATGCTCGCCGGATTATTTCTCAAACGCAATGTGTTCCTAGCTCAACTCGGCAGACACACGCACACACACATATATTTTAAGAGATGAACAAAGGCAGAAACATAGACAGAGGCGCACTGACAGTGACAGAGCGATAAGGCAAGACGAAACTGATTACAGTAAGTACCAACCCCCATCATTAAAGAGCATACTTGAAGATAATAATGTGGCCATGAACCAATGACAAACGCAAAAGGGAGGCACCCATCCACCTCCCGCTACCCCTTCAAGCCCCGCCCTCGTGTCAGGTCCCATATGACGGAGGATAGAAAGCCTCCCTGCCCCCCGGACGCCCACATTCCCCGGCTCCTTCATCCATCCAGTCCAGTCTGCCTGACAAACTAATGGAGACTAATCAACTGCCAGGACGAACACGTTGCACACTACATCTCCCTGCTTCCCGTACCATCCCCCCGCCTCCACTGCAACAACCGCCACCCCCACCAAAACTCACCTCCCGCAATCATTTTAGCTATAACTGTCAGGGGCAGAAATAACAGAGTGATCGCTATATATAGCACCCTGACTCTCCGCTGGCCTAGTGCGTACACATACACACAAACGCACAGCCTTGTCCCTGCGCACATTCATTCCCCATTAGCTCACCTTAACCTTTATGACCCCCATTATGCGTGTGACCTTATTCTAATCCTAATTCTAGATATAATGTTAAATTAACCTTCACCTGAACGCTGGAGTCAGCGTCTGTCTATTCAGTAGCTACAGGTCGGCAGATAAGTTTACACTTTGCAAATGAAGGTCTTTTTCCAGCAACACCAGTGAGCTCAGTGTGTTTACACAGAGTCTGACTGTTGGATTCTAATCATTGAAAGCGCAATACCCATTTGCTCATGTTTTATCTGTTTTTAAAAGTATCATCCAGGTTATGACTAATAGCCTAATAATAATGTGGGATTAGTCTTCTAAACAGCCCGAGGTGTGTGCATGCTTCAGTGCGGTTTCTTTGTTTTGATTCTGCGGGCAAGCTGCAAAATGTCATGGGAGTGAACTGGAAGCAAAGCTGAGTCTTTGAAAAATGAAAAGTACGCCTTGCAGTTGAAAAAGAGGAGGGAGCTCTGCTTTCGGGGGGCATTAGCAAAATTACTTCCCTGTAACAACAGCATGAAGGATAATGGTTATGTTAGCATGCTTTGATTAGCATTGCACACTTAATTAGGACCAAAATCTTGTCCGTGTGTGTGCAGACTACTAATGCTGTCTCCTCAGATGACCATAACATATATATCGATATATGTATTTATATATGCATTGTGTGTGTGCATATGTGTTTGCACCAAGTACGCAAACAGAAGAACAAAGTGTGTAAAAATGAGTTTTTTAGCAGCCACCGTAACTTAGCACGTATTTTCTTTATCTCGTGAGTCTGTGTGATTCATGCCAGCAAAATGCAGCTCAGGAGACACCTGCTGTAGTGGGAACTACCACAGAGGCAGTTTGGAGTGTAGTGGCATTGTGTCTATGTGTTGTTCTGTCCTTCTGCCTGCCTGTGGACAGATTCTGTTAACACACTTTAAAGACGGGTTTAGTCTGACCCCTGTGCCATCATTTCCTGCACTTTAGACTCCCTATAATGTTTATCTTTATCTGATTTAACTTAGGTTAAGTTAAACCAGATAGGTCAAAGATGGATGTGGTGTGAGTACTCTCGCCACAGCTGCAGCTGGTGTAATCGCATTGCTTAAAACTAGTTCAATTTAAATAGTCAAAGGAGCTTGCAAAGAAAAGCGTCTGGACTTCTTTAAGTTGCTTGAAGACGTTTCACCTCTCATCCGAGAAGCTTCTTCAGTTCTAAGGTCAAATGGTGGAGACTCCCAGATATAAACCTAGTGGGAGTTTCCCCCCACAGAGGGACAAAAGGACCCCCTGATGATCCTCTAATCGCCTGAGCCAAGGTGTGGAAGTGTGTGTGGGTTCCAATCAGCCAGAGTTTCGGGTGAGCTCATTGTGAAACCTGGCCCCACCTTATCATGCGAATTCCTGAGGTCAGATGGCGCAGGATGTGAGTGGGCGTTAAGGCGTCTGGGGAGGAACTCAAAACTGGATTATAGATGGCAGACAGTTGGTGTCGTAAACCACCGCCTCTGTTCAAAGATGGTCGCTCACAGTGGACATAGATGCTTCTTTCACTCCTCTTTCAAACCATCTGTCCTCTCTGTCCAAAATGTGAACATTGGCATCCTCGAAAGAGTGACCTTTATCCTTAAGATGCAGATGGAGACTCAGCTGTCCATCTGCAGGTTTATATCTGGGACTCTCCACCATTTGACCTTAGAACTGAAGAAGCTTCTCGGATGAGAGGTGAAACGTCTTCAAGCAACTTAAAGAAGTCCAGACGCTTTTCTTTGCAAGCTCCTTTGACTACGATGACCTGGATGACTGAGAACCTTCACAGACTCTTCAATTTAAATACTGTATCTAGAATACTGTGCCGCTTACTTGAAATCCAAGCAGTTTTTACACAAATCATCTTATTAGTAGACGTTTCGTGCCATAACAAAAGTGAAGATGTGTGCTCCTCACATGCATTACAAAACATACAATGTAATAGCCAAACCATGAAGTTTGGTCTCTGCATCTCAGGAAACAGCACCAACCTTCATTTAGGACAAGAAGTAGAGGCGGGGGGTTTTCTGCCTGAATCTATGTGAATATGTGGGCATCGGTATATGGATTCTACCCTGTAAAAACAAATGAATCATTTCCGTATTTCTTTCCATAGCTCAAGCAGTCTCAGTTTGACTTTAGGCGTAATCTTCATCGTTAGCATGTCCACTTTCTTTCCAGCCCACCAGGCAGGTCGGAGAGCACAGACGTTCAGGGCAGCTGAATCACAGTAAAACTAGCTGTAGAGAAACAGCTTTGTGACCTTGAACAAAACAGTCCATCACCGCAGCGGGACACCTTTTACTTTGTTTGCATCCCCTGCTAGCAGCTTGGACCCTACCTCCCATAATTGATGGTCGCCAGCAGGAAGTTTGACATGGATTGGTCTGGAAAGTTCTATATCATTAGCATGACGTGAAAGCATGACTGACTAATTGTCAGAAAAGAAATTATAATGGATGTTGCTATACAGGGAACAAGCACTAATTAACACTCTGTCATTACAAGAAAATGCTGATGAAAATTACAGCTTTTATTCCACGAGTGATAGATTTCTTCTGTGCCTGAATATATTTTATTTATTACTGGGTGTACTATTTTTAGAAGGGGACTAGACAGATTAATTGTACTGGAGGTAAAGAAAATCACACATAGAGCACAGAATGGTGTATTTTGTTGCAGGTAATCCCTTGGAAAACGTGTGAGGCGCGCTGATCCTTTACTATGCAGAGATATGATGCTGCAAACGCCTTGAGCTAGTCATATAATTTCAGCTGTGCATGTGAAAGATTAGATTGTTATGGCCCAGCAGCACAAAAAACACATTAACATATCAGTTACAATACACTGATCAATAGCAGTGATTGTTGCACAGAGATTTGTGTACCTCAGTGGTAAATATTGTTGGTTGCACTCTAGCTGTGGTTTCTGAAATTAAAAGGATCGAGGGTTTTGTTGAACACATTTAAAAGAAGGTTGTCCGTCTTACCGTCTTTGCCGATGAGAAAGTCCAGGTAGCGGTATGTGTAGGCCATGCCCACCTTGGTCTCCACCTGTGGTCTCTTCAGGGTGGAGTAAATCTTCCCTGGACTGTTCTCCTCTGAAACTGGTTTCATCTTGCGTAACCCGCAGCCCATGGCTCCACAGTTTTTAGGTCACTCTTTACAAAGACCCTACAAAAACAAAGGACAACGTGCTTCTTTAGCTGAGCTAAAAAGTAGACATTGCATTGCAGAAAACAAAACAATAGAAAGCATGATTTAAAATTGATTATATAAAAAAAAAAAAAGAAGTTAGCGAAGACTTATTCAAATTTAAAGTAGAGCTCTTAACAGCTGACAGGCTCTTGTGATCACTGGGGAACAATTAGCATTCCATTGTGATGTTTCTGTCACTCACAAGTTCATAATAATTCAAAGACTTACTCAAAGTGAGTCAAATAACTCAAAGACTCAAAGACTTCTGAGATGTAAGTGTTCTGTTTTCCATCTCACTAACCGAGCTACAGTTGCAAGAGAGGTTCATCTTTGGTTTTGTGTTATGGAAACAAATTGAACGGGAACTACGGATGGATTTTAAACTGCAACTTATTGCTTATTTGAAAGATTATAATAGCAAATTATGTGAACTGTAAAACTAACTGTAACCCCCCCAAATAAAGGAAAAAATCCAACACCCGTGCACAGGATTTTGTGCACCAGTGGTCAAAAACAATAATATACAATAACAATATATAGCTACAAATCATAACTTGGCTTTCCAAGCTTTGCAAATAGCCAAAAGTACAATGTTGGCTCTTGCTACTATAATCAAAATGGGTATAATTTTGTTGTGTTCATATCTGCTGCGAGTTTCAATTGAGAGTTTTAATTCCTTGTTGACCACCCTATTAAAATAAGGCTGTTTCCATTGATTAATTTGCAGGCGAGGTAACTGTTTTGATCCAATGAAATTAAAAAGTTTAGTTTATTAAAAACGTTTTAAAATTCCTCCAGATTTAAAAATGTCAGCAGATAAAAACAAATTTGGTTAATTTGGTCTTTTTTCACTGAATGAAACAGGAAGGTCGGGGTTAAGTGTCGTATGGTAGTCCAGTTATTGACCTTTTTTGCTACATTCGATAAATTTGTAGTACAAATTTGATTTACCGCTCATTTTATGATTGTTTTTGTTTTATGTGTTTAAATGATCACACACATTTGAATGGCCAATGCCAAACAAATGCAGATGATTCACTGTGGTGGTCACCCAAAATAATTTTAAGACTTCTACATCTGGGAAATTACCAAAAAGTTAAGATTTCACTGAGTACTAACCTCTTCACAGTAAAGAGGACAAAACCCTGGGTGCAGACCTACAGAAGTGAATAAAGCTGTCTAACAAACAAACAAATCTCCTAACCATATCAGTGCATATGTGATCCCATTTTCCACTTCTTGTACATCACTCATTCTTTATTAGAAGTTTATAATTATTTATCTCTAGCGAATGTCTGCCACATGGGAATTCCCTATTCTGTTTCTGTAAGGACAAGACGGTGCACACGCGGCACAGAGTTGTGTATTTTCTCCTAGAAAGCTTGTGAGGCATTTCTTGTCATGCTTTGATATAATGCAGCAAACGCATTTTATAATATTAGCTGTTCTTATAATTTCAGCTATGCATGTGAAAGGAGCATTCGTTTCGATTTTTATGACTTTAATGGATCTGTTACAATGCACGGATCAATAGCAGTGATTGCTGCGCAGACGTTTGTGTATCTCATTGGTAAATATTGTGGATTACATTGTGGATTTTTGGCAAAGCTAAGCAAGTGGTCAGGTACAGTCTCACAGGTCCTCAACGAGCCAGGGTTGAAAATAAAGCTGTTTAAATAACAAATAGACTTTCTAACCATGTCAGTGTGAAGAATGTGTAGTTCTTGTGCATCACTGATTCTTCCCATATGGAAAAGAAATAGTAAAAACATATATGATTTACTCATGAAAGTGGCCACTTTCTCATTACTTTCATATATTTTTTTAGTAAGTATCCAAAACATACAAGTTTCATTATGTAATTTTTCAAGGGATCTTATATCTGTTTTCACTCTTGTATGCTTTTCATGCAAGTTTCATACAAGACAGATACGAACTTTATAAGATTTATATATATCTTTTCCATATGGGTTTATTCTAATTTTAGGTGATAATTATTTATCTCTAGTGCATTGCAATTCTATATGATATATCTTTACTATTTCATGAAATAGTCAAATGTCTCAGTTTCAATATTAAAAAAAAATGTTTGTAAATAACAAACAGCTTTATGAGATTTGCAAATCACTGCATTCAGTTTATATTAACATTTTACACAAGATCTCAACTGTTTAGAAATAAATAATGGAAAACCTCCATTGTAGTAGTAGTACCTGATAGTGTACAAAGTGTTTAAATAACACACTTATTGATATCAGTGAGCATCCCTAAGCAAGGACCAGACATGCACATTGACATGTATACACATGTGCAGGAAAGCAAAGATTCTTCAGAAGGAAAACTAATAAAGGGCAGCATGTTTGGTAAACCTCTGTACATTAACATGAATAAATAAATATTCTTATAACCTGATTCCTAGGGAGGCCAAATTAGCAACAACCAGGGAGTGAGAGGCCTTAAAGGGCCAGTACTACAGATGCCACCGTGTCCCGAATGCTTTGTGCCAGCACCACTGCCTCTCTCCAGTGGCTTCATCTGGGAATAGGTGACATTTCATTGTGTTCCACTGATTAAACTCAAGAACGGATGGATGGACAGATGGATAGATGGATGGCAGTGGCGCCCTCTTATTCCACCTTGCCTAATGAAGATCCCTCTCTATTACTCCATTATTCTCTGTACTAATTACAGCACGTCGAAGGGGTTTGGCAGAATCGGAGTTGACCGTTGCTTCAGAGACGACAGGACAGGAAGTGAGGAGGGGCACAGGGGGTTCCGACGTAGGAAGGAGTGGGAGGCAAAAAAGGAACCAGCTGCAGACGGGGCTCTGTTAATGAGGTGAACGGCAAGAATGAAAAGGTGAGAATCAATCAAGGCAGAAAGAGGAAACAGGGGTGGCCGGGTTGGAGATTGTTCGCATAAAAGGGGTTTGGGTGGTGGGGGGGGCAGCGGGTAATGCATGGCAAGTAGAGTCCGGAGGAAAAAAGAGAGCGTGCAATTAAAGTCGGCTGAATAGAAAAAGGATGATCAGCATACAAGATGGAAACAGGGAGAGAGAAAGAGTGAGATTCATCACGGCTGTGGTGCCAGTGTTTCCAGTGGCACCGACATGGACGTCTTTGTTGGGCTTTATAAATCTCAACGTGTATAACAGTCATATTTCTCCTTGTAAAAGCGCTCAGAAATGGACCACAAGCTGATGGATTTATAGCTAACACCAGAACACAAGCACGCAGCTACCAACCCAGCAACAACGCACTGCAAAGACGTAAGGATGACTTCACTGGATCCCTGAACGCCTACGTTTGCTTGAAAAGTGAAAGGACACTTTTTATTCCTCGATACTTTTGCAAGCATGTCAGATGTCCAGCAGATTTAAACTGTCCAGCTCTAAAGAAATGGTGCTAACCAGCTAACCTAACACGCAAGAACAGAAGGTTGAGAAAAGATCCCCATGCAACACATAATGAGTACAAAATGTGCATGAAAGTAGATAAATAGCATGAACAGGTTTTTACTAGGGATGCAACGATACCAATTTTTTCAAACCGATACGATACCGATACTTGGATCTGAGTACTTGCCGATACAGAGTACAAAAACCAATACTTCTACCACACACACAAATACAAT